GCCACTCATCGCCGGCTCCTTACCAGGCACCCCGATCTCCTTCCGCGAGATCTCCATTTCTTTCTACTGTGAACGACGGGGATGAGGGCCCTGTTGGGTGTCTGGAGCAAATCCCTCTCGTCCGACTCATTAAAGAAAAATTATTTGTCCAGTTCAAGGTGAGTAATCGCTGTTCTAATGTCCAGAAGCTATTTTTGGTCATAAGAGACGGTAGCAGCAACATTATGAACAAAATGAGTTACAAACAATGTGAAAAAACACACTAAATAGCACTGTTGGTTAAGAGTCCATAAAATGGCAGCCATCCCCTCCGGCGCCATTGTTTGTCTGAATGTTTTGTCATTCAGGTCCAAAAAGTCCATTTCTGACCACTTCTTCCATGGGCAAACATGTATGTAAAGTTTTGTTTAAACAAAAGGGATGCTGTCAAAAAGTGATTGAATTCAAATGGATTTACCCATCTAATAGTGAAATCATAGTGTAAAAGCAGGTAAGCTAGTTCTACTCTTTATGGCCATTTATGGTGATTTGTGGTGGAAAACTGAGCGGGTCAAGCATAACAGCAACTCAAATTAAATCACATGCGCCGGATACAACAGGTGTAGACTTTACCATGAAATGCTTACTTACTAGCCCATTCCCAACAATGCAGAGTTAAAAAGTACTACAAAAAAATGTTTATTGAGAAAAATAGGAAAGAGTAACAATTGATAACAATAACGAGGCTATATACAGTGCATTCGGAAAGTATTCAGACCCCTTCACCTTTTCCAAAATATTTTACGTTACAGACATATTCTAAAATAGATGTAAAAAACAACAACAACAAACACTCATCAATCTACATACATTACCCCCATAATGACAGAGCAAAACAGGTTTTCAGAAATGTTTGCTAATATATAAATAAAAAATACGGAAATATCACATTTACGTAAGTATTCAGACCCTTTACTCAGTACTTTGTTGAAGCACCTTTGGCAGCGATTACAGCCTCAAGTCTTCTTGGGTATGACACTACAAGATTGGCACATCTGTATTTGGGGAGTTTCTCCCATTCTTCTCTGCAGATCCTCTCAAGCTCTGTCAGGTTGGATGGGGAGTGTCGCTGCACAGCTATTTTCAGGTCTCTCCAGAGATGTTAGATCGGGTTCAAGTCCGGGCTCTGGCTGGGCCACTCAAGGACATTCAGAGACTTGTCCCGAAGCCACTTCTGCGTTGTCTTGGCTGTGCTTAGTGTCGTATTCCTGTTGGAAGGTGAACATTCACCCCAGTCTGAGGTCCTGAGTGCTCTGGAGCAGGGTTTCATCAAGGATCTCTCTGTATTTTGCTTTGTTCATCTTTCCCACGATCCTAACTAGTCTCCCAGTCCCTGCCGCTGAAAAACATCCACACAGCATGATGCTGCCACCACCATGCTTCACCGTAGGGATGGTATTGGCCAGGTGATGAGCTGTACCTGGTTTCCTCCAGACGTGACGCTTGGCATTCAGGCCAAAGAGTTACATTTTGGTTTCATCAGACCAGATAATCTTGTTTCTCATGATCTGAGATTCCTTTAGGTGCCTTTTGGCAAACTCCAAGCGGGCTGTCATGTGCCTTTTACTGAGGGGTGGCTTCCGTCTGGCCACTCTACCATAAAGGCCTGATTGGTGGAGTGCTGCAGAGATGGTTGTCCTTCTGGAAGGTTCTCCCATCTCCACAGAGTAACTCTGGAGCTCTGTCAGAGTGACCATTGGGTTCTTGGTCACCTTCCTGACCAAGGCCCTTCTCCCCCGATGAAGAAGGGTCATGAAATAAATGTTGGGTTGGATAGGCTATATCATAGATATGCATCTCAGATCAAGTGGTTATTGGCTGAGCCATTGCTGGTTGTCAGGCCTCAGGAGAGCCCTGTCTGGCCTTATTGTCCCCTGGGGATGTGTCCCTGTCTGGCCCTATTGTCCCCTGGGGATGTGTCCCTGTCTGGCCCTATTGCTCAGTTTGGCCAGCTCTAGGAAGAGTCTTGGTGGTTCCAAACTTCTTCCATTTAAGAATGATGGAGGCCACTGTGTTCTTGGGGACCTTCATTGCTGCAAAAAGTTTTTGGTACCCTTCCCCAGATCTATGCCTCGACACAATCCTGTCTTGGAGCTCTATGGACAATTCCTTCGACCTCATGGCTTGGTTTTTGCTCTGACATGCACTGTCAACCGTGGGACCTTTTGTAGACAGGTGTGTGTGCCTTTCCAAATCATGTCCAATCAATTGAAGTTACCACAGGTGGACTCCAATCAAGTTGTAGAAACATCTCAAGGATGATCAATGGAAACAGGATGCACCTGAGCTCAATTTCGAGTCTCATAGCAAAGGGTCTGAATATGTATTTGTTTTTTAATTTGATTACATTTGCACAAATGTCTAAAAACCTGTTTTCGCTTTGTCATTATGGGGTTTTGTGTGTAGATTGATTAGGAAAAAAAGTTATTTAATCAATTTTAGATTAAGGCTGTAACGTAACAAAATGTGGAAAAAGTCAAGGGATCTGATTACTTTCCGAATGCACTGTACAAGGAGTACCGATACCGAGTCAATGTGCAGCGGTAGGAGATAGTTGAGGTAATACAGTATGTATGTGTAGGTAGGGGTAAAAGTGACTAGGCAATCAGCATAGATAAAGAGTAACAGCAGCGTATGTGAAGATTATAAAAGTGTATGTGTGTGTGTGTGTGTGAGCGTGTGTGTGTGAGCGCGTGTGTGTGTGTGTGTGGCATGTATGTGTGAGTGTGTGTGTGTGTGTGTGTGTGTGTCTTGGAGTGTCAGTGTAAGTATGTGTGTGGGTAGATTCCAGTGAGTGTGCATAGAGTCAGTGCAAGAGAGTCAGTGCAAAAAAAGGGTCAATGAAAATAGTCCGGGTAGCCATTTGGTTAACTGTTCAGCAGTCTTATGGCTTAGGGGTAGAAGCGTTTCAGGAGCCTTTTGGTACCAGACTTGGCGCTCCGGTACTGCTTGCCGTGCGGTAGCAGAGTAAACAGTCTATGGCTTGAGTGGCTGAGGTCTTTGACAATTTTCCAGGCCTTCCTCTGACACCGCCTGGTATAGAGGTCCTTGATGGCAGGGCCATCCGTGATTTACTGGGCTGTCCGTACCATCCTCTGTAGCGCCTTGCGGTCGGATGCCAAGCAGTTGCCGTACCAAGCGGTGATGCAGCCAGTCAAGATGCTCTCAATGGTGTAGCTGGATAACTTTTTGTTGATCTGAGGGCCCATGCCAAATCTTTTCAGCCTCCTGAGAGGGAAGAGGCGTTGTTGTGCCTTCTTCACGACTGTGTTGGTGTGTGTGCGACAAGTTATCCCTGTTACCCATAGATAGACAGGCTAGGAATGTTTTAAGAATTTCAAGAAAAAATAATAATCTTGCATTCAATTGCCACTCCCTGTTGCACACAACAAGCTTCCATTCCCCCTGTGGGATTTATGGCTGATTTTAAGATGAAATCGTCAACCTTGTTACGGTCAACCCTGTTACTTTATTTGGTACTAATGCCTCGGAAACGTCCAACTCGCTAACTGGTTGAACACGGCATGTGCATAACTACAAACAGTTAGCAAGTCGTACATTTCAGAGTTTCCTAGTTCAGACTAGCACACGAACACGGCATTAATTGCAATTGATATAGTATTTTTTTTTTTTCTAACCTCTTTGCTGGCTATAAAAAACTAAAAATGGCAAATAGTTTGCTTAGCTAGCTAATTGTGTTAGATTAAAAAACAGCCATGTATAAATGGTATTTTAACATTTTGTATATTACAAAAAATCTACTCAAGCTAACTGATACAGTATGTTGGCTACCTTTCTGACCGGTACTTTCAGGTTCAATTCAATGGCGTGACACTGCTGTGCCTGCGTGCATATCTGTGTAGCTAACTACCTGTCTGTCGCCCCCTTAAGGAGTCGCATACATAGGTTTGGTTTGCTGCTAGCAGAATTCGGCTAGGCAAAGCGAACGTCTGTGTTCGCATACTGCCTAAAGACCTTCGCTTGGAGAAGCTTATTGTGGACTACAGAAGACCGAAGAGGGAGCACGACCCGTCTTCATCGACAGGGCCGCAATGGATAAGGTCAAAAGCTTCAAGTTCCTCGGCATGCACATCACTGAGGACCTGAAATGGTCTCGCCACATCGACATCATGGTGAAGAAGGAGCAACAGCGCCTCTACAACCTAAATTTGGCATGGCCCCTAAGACCCTCACACACTTCTACTGATGCACCATTGAGAGCATTCTGTCGGACTGCATCGCCGCCTGGTACGGCAACTGCTCCGCCCTCAACCGAATGGCTCTCCAGAGGGTGGTGCGGACAGCCCAATGCATCACCAGGACCACGCTGCCTGCCCTCCAGAACATCTACTGCACCCGGTGTCAAAGGAAGGCCAAGAAGATCATTAAGGACCTCAGTCACCCGAGCCACGGACTGTTCACTCGGCTACCGTCCGACAGATGGAGACAGTACAGGTGCATCAAAGTCAAGACCGAGAGACTAAAAAACAGCTTCTATTACCAGGTCATCAGACTGTTGTACAGCCATCACTAGCTGTCTACCAGGTGATGCACATTCACTCACACAAAACACACACACAAGTTATCACACACACACACACCTCATACTCACAAACACGCACACACACTCACAGCCAACGCTGCTGTCCCATGTTGTCCCATGTTGTCCCATGTTATATATAGAGACATTGACCCACTGGTCACTTCACGTTTCACACTGTGTATTTAAATACTGTATCCCCACCCCGACATAGCTTATTCTAATATCTCTACTACTGTAGATGTATTTTAGTTGCACTGTCTATGCACACCGCATATTTCTATACTGGATTATTGTATATAAATTCTTGGTGCCCGAAAAATAATCACTCCCTCAACGTCAACAAAACGAAGGTTTTCTCGCTCTGCTTCAGCCTATGGCGCTCTTGCTGCGTCTCCTCCAGCCTCCTCTGCAGAACCACCATCCTCTCATCCTCAGCTACTCCCTGCTGCAGCTCTTGCCTGGCTCTCTTCTCCTCCTGCCTACCGTATGCACATCAGGACACATCTCAGACATGTCTTGTGCGTACATACCAGGTATGTGAGTGTCTCAGTTAATCTGACCTGCGTGCAGCAGCCTGTCCCAGGGCTGTCCTGTGGAGGGCGATGGTGTCCAGCTGTTCCAGCAGAAGCTGCTCCCTGCTCTGCTTGTCCTCCAGGATGCACTCCCTCCTGTCCTGTTGCTCTTTTTGCTCTGCATCCCTCAGCATGGCCAGACGCTCCCGGAGCTCAGCCAGGGACATCTCCCCAAGCAGATCATGTCCTGCTGTCTGAGACAGGGAGAGGTCAGAATACAGCATATCATTAATCATAAAAGTCAACCTCCTCCTCACAGAACCCAGCAAAATGCCTGTATACTGTGTTTTGTTGGCAAGATCCTTTCCCCTGCTTACTGTTTCATCCACAAACCTGTGCCTGATGAGGGGGACAGACTCAATGGCCCAGATCTGACTGATGATCTCAAACTTCCTGCTCAGCTCTGCCTGTGCTTCCTCCAGGGCCTGGCGAAGGAGTTCCCCACTCTGCTCCGACACTTCCTTTACTGGAACACAAACATATACAAAAGCACACAGACATGAGATCCCAATTCGCCAAACACGGTCTGTTGCACCACAACACCAAAGCAGGTGTAATAGAACTGATGATGAGAAAGTGAACATTATGTGGGGACAAGGGGTGATGTAATGCTACAGTTTAGTCACCTATACGCTGTTTGAACTCCTGCAGCTTCACTTTAGCTGCTTTTGAGTTTTTGTGTCCATCTGCCACCTGTTGCACCAGGTCTCATCTCTTTCTCCTCCTGCAACTGCTTGTTTGCGTATCTCTGCATCAGCTTGGCAGTCTGCAAACAATCACAAACAAGATAGGCTCAATCAAACACTCACAAAGACAGGAACATTTAATATAGCCAATTACCTTTTCTCAATATTCCAAAACTGTATAATACTAATAACTCAAATAAAACACACCTCTTCCTTCTTTAGCAGTGCAGTCTTCTGGTTGCGCTCCGTGATGCGGGCGAGAGCGGCCTCTTCGGAACTGATGCATCCCTCCAGACGCCAGCGCTCCTCCTGGGCAAGCTCCTCCTGGAGGTCCCGCTCCCACATCTCCTTTTGCCACTGCAGGAACGAGGAGGGCTCACCCGCCGCCTCCACTATCTGCTCCATTCTGTTTTACAGTAGCACACACAGCACACATTACAATACCTCTCCACTCTAGCTGCCTTCATAAGTGTCCCACTGGCCCAGCTAGTTTTTTATGTCAACAAAGTGACTGACAGTTGGCATAGTGATTAATTCCTGGAGTATAGTGGCACAACTGATATGAGGCACAGGTGCATGCATTATATTGTGTTGTACCGGCGTAGCTCCCCCTACACCTGACGGTTATACAGAGCCCCCTCTCGCAGGATGGCCGTTATGTTTAGCCTGATGGGCAGGTTGTTAGTCTGGTGGAAATATACAAATACACAGGGGTATACGCAAAGACGCTCATAGACAAATGTTACTGTCTATTATTTCTGTATCATTTGAGAGCACTTCAACATCACAAACCTCAGTACCTGGATCCAGGGGGAGTGGAGTGAGATCTATGATGCTGCCTATATGAAGAGGAACGGGATTGCCCCACTGCTAAGGTACAGAACTGTAAAGGCATTCAGGTTATACCTAAAGACATTGAATCCCCACTCATGCTGTCTTCTTTCATTTTGTTTTATTTTTCATGTCTTTACTGTCTTGTCATCTCTTTTTCTAATATATACACATTTCCCCCACTAGGTGGAGCCCTGAGATTGAGATTCTGATGGCTCAGTTTGCAGCCAGAATCTCTCGAAGGAGTCAACTCAAGAAAGCCACCAAGAAAAACACTGAGCCCCAGGAATTTTCACTTACCAAACCCAAAGATTGTCAGAGAAAGTTGATTTATTTTATGAGCCATAAAATTACCACAAACTGTGAAATAATTGCATTTTGGTGCCATTAGACCACAGACAATGTGTTTCTTACTTTGTGCATCTTTTTAAAGTCCAAGGTCATCAAGGAGGAACATGCTGAAGTAACAGATTACTGTGGAACACAAATTGGCAAATATAGAAGCGACAAATGGTCAGATCATGTGTTTGTTATACCATTTTGAAAACATTATCTAGAATTGAGTTATTTAAAATTCTGTGATGAACTTACTGGCAAACTGGTTACGATCAGCCTTCAGTAAGCATTTCCCATTCTGAGCATAAAAGACATTGATGACAACATCCAATAACTTTTTATGCTCAATGCATCCAGAAATGATGTCAAGTATAAACTTCTTATCCAAGGCATCCAGGTTCTGGTAAGAAAGAAACTGACTGTTATCTGAAATGTCTGTAATACCGAAGCAGTCTTACGGTATAGATAGATACGGTATATGGCTCTGGTCTGACCATTTTGATCAATAATCTCCTTTCGCTAGCTTTAAAATAATGTTTTATGCTTCATAATAGGGCATGAGATTAATAATCCATCACAACACATACACATCACATCCATACACATCCATCCATACATACACACTACTCAATTTAGGTACAGTTACCTCAAATGCCTTTGAAGCATCCTCTGTGAAATCCTCCACACACTGTTAGTCTGCATTAAACTTGTCACAGAGCACAGTGGCTTTCTTGATAAGTGATGCATAGCCTTTTGCCATCTTATGCTACACCTGTGCAAATTAGGGACATCTGGCATTAGGGGAAATTAAAATCTTCTCAACTGATGAATAGGTGAATGTGGTGGGTGGGTGGATGGATTGAGGTAACGTTAGCTACCTGGTCAGAAGGACAGAACACACAGACAGAGAGACACATACATACATACATACATACATACATACATACATACATAGACAGATGGAAAGAAACATATCAAATCCAATTTTATTTGTCACATACACGTGTTTAGCAGATGTTATAGCGGGTGTAGCGAAATGCTTGTGCTTCTAGCTCCGACAGTGCAGTAATATCTAACAATTTCACAACATATACCCAATACACACACATCTAGTAAGGAATGGAATGATGTCATAGATGCTACCAAAGGTTCTTAATAAACCTATCAGTGATGCTGTACTGTTAGTAAGTCTAATCGTGGCATTTTAGGCTAGCAAAATGTGTCCATGCTTGGACTCTTACCATGGATGTGGCTAACCTTTCTTGGGTGAACTAAACGTATTGCTTACAGGGCAGCTAAACTGTTGCCGAATAGGTGCTTCATTAATCAAAGGCATTTTAACAATGTGTAACCCATTCATTTATTGGTTCTCAGGGTTTGTCTGTAACTTCAAAACAGTTCCGATGTTTGGTCGTTGCCAAGCAACACAGGCATAAACAGAGGCCAACAACATAATAAGGCTGATTGATCATTTTCAAATGTTGACTAACATTATTACCTATGACCAGTGGCGTGTATTCATGGACGCCAAGGGAAGCCAGGCTTCCACAAAACATTTACAATTTGTTTTAATAATTATACATAAAATAACGTATCTTTCGTCTCTCTGGGTTTCATAATTTTCCTTCAATTCGCAAGAGGCTGAATGTACCTCACAGGAGAAAGCATCCGAGCGAGCGAAACAGCGCCCCTCTGTCTCTCTACGTGTAGGCCATCTATCTGATACTGTCTGGTCCAAACGAGTATGACATTGTTGCCGCCTGTAGCATTGAATGCAAGGGAAGCCAGTGAGCATTTGGCCTCCCTTGACAAAAAAAGTATACAAAATTTGCCAATCAGCTTTGAGCTAAACTGAGCGATCTCAACTGTGAATGGTCCTGGCGGAAAAAAAGTGTCAAGGGAAGCAAGCTTGGATTTGGCGTCTCTGCTATCAAATCACTTTGAGAGCATACAGTGGGGAGAACAAGTATTTGATACACTGCCGATTTTGCAGGTTTTCCTACTTACAAAGCATGTAGAGTTCTGTAATTTTTATCATAGGTACACTTCAACTGTGAGAGACAGAATCTAAAAATCCAGAAAATCACATTGTATGATTTTTAAGTAATTAATTTGCATTGTATTGCATGACATAAGTATTTGATACTTCAGAAAAGCAGAACTTAATATTTGGTACAGAAACCTTTGTTTGCAATTACAGAGATCATACGTTTCCTGTAGGTCTTGACCAGGTTTTCACACACTGCAGCAGGGATTTTGGCCCACTCCTCCATACAGACCTTCTCCAGATCCTTCAGGTTTCGTGGCTGTCGCTGGGCAATACAGACTTTCAGCTCCCTCCAAAGATTTTCTATTGGGTTCAGGTCTGGAGACTGGTTAGGCCACTCCAGGACCTTGAGATGCCTCTTACGGAGCCACTCCTTAGTTGCCCTGGCTGTGTGTTTCGGGTCGTTGTCATGCTGGAAGACCCAGCCACGACTCATCTTCAATGCTCTTACTGAGGGAAGGAGGTTGTTGGCCAAGATCTCGTGATACATGGCCCCATCCATCCTCCCCTCAATACGGTGCAGTCGTCCTGTCCCCTTTGCAGAAAAGCATCCCCAAAGAATGATGTTTCCACCTCCATGCTTCACGGTTGGGATGGTGTTCTTGGGGTTGTACGAGGTGAGATCTTGCATGGAGCCCCAGACCGAGGGTGATTGACCGTCATCTTGAACTTCTTCCATTTTCTAATAATTGCGCCAACAGTTGTTGCCTTCTCACCAAGCTGCTTGCCTATTTTCCTGTAGCCCATCCCAGCCTTGTGCAGGTCTACAATTTTATCCCTGATGTCCTTACACAGCTCTCTGGTCTTGGCCATTGTGGAGAGGTTGGAGTCTGTTTGATTGAGTGTGTGGACAGGTGTCTTTTATACAGGTAACGAGTTCAAACCGGTGCAGTTAATACAGGTAATGAGTGGAGAACAGGAGGGCTTCTTATAGAAAAACTAACAGGTTTGTGAGAGCCGGAATTCTTACTGGTTGGTAGGTGATCAAATACTTATGTCATGCAATAAAATGCTAATGAATTACTTAAAAATCATACAATGTGATTTTCTGGATTTTTGTTTTAGATTCCGTCTCTCACAGTTGAAGTGTACATATGATAAAAATTACAGACCTCTACATGCTTTGTAAGTAGGAAAACCTGCAAAATCGGCAGTGTATCAAATACTTGTTCTCCTCACTGTATCATGGTCACAAGGCATAAATATGTAATTATCACTACACATACAGTGGCTTGGCTTCCCCAGTGATTTTACCCACACACAGCTAATGTTCATTTTTCGTATTTGTGTCATAATAACATTAGGTTCCAACTACTTTCTGAAAATAATGTACCAAAATTGTAGAACTATCAAAGATCAATTTTCGCTTGCCATAGAATCAACAATGATTATGATGTACTTACCATAGAATTAGGAATGAGAATACTAATTAGCAATGAATAATTAATTAGAAATGAATAAATTAGGAATTACAATACTAATAATTAGGAATTAGTCATTTAATAGGATATCTATGGTATGTACACCATAGTGACGTGTGGTGCAAGCCTGGGCAAGTGGGTGGCGATATCAACGTGACTGTCATCAAGCAGACGGAGGGGACGAGCGAACGAAACCATCCGTTGAGGATTGCTTGTTTTATCCGGTGGTACTTGAAAAGTGGCAGTGAATCACCAGCCTACCGCGGATTCTGTAGGCATGAAAACACAACGTCGTTTTTAAAGAAATTATATGAACACTTGAACTCTTTACCTTAAAACTTCGGATGTCGTATTGGATTAAATATTTCCCACCTTTTTAGCAACGTAGTTAGCATCTGCTAGTCTGTCTCACAGGTACTAGAAGAGCAGGGTCGGTGACAAAGGAGGGGTAAGGTGGCGAGGTAACGATGAATCGGTTTCGAAAGTGGTTTTACAAGCCTAAGGTAAGTTTATGTGATTCTATTCTCCAGCTACTGCCAGTAATCTGTTATTCGCTAATACATTTTAGAAAATAGCAAACTATAGTTTGCTATTTTCCCCATACAGTATTTTGCTGCAATGCATGTATTACATTCCTTAGTACATATTGAGCTATGCATGTACATGCTAGCTAGTCGCTGTATAAACTGTCTCTGATAACGTTATCTTCTATAAAGTTGTTTATTTCAGTCTGGCATTTAGGTAACTGAAGCTATGCAATACGAATGGCTGCTTCTCGAAGCAAGTTGTCATCAACCGCATTGCTGAGATTGGTCAAAACAGAAATAAATAATGTAGCTAGCTAGCCTAACTTGCATTGCAGTATCGAACTTGTAGCCTACAGCTTTTGTTAGCTAGCTACCCTACCTAACGTTATAGTACAAACGGTCGTCACTCGGGCTCAGAATTAATTGAATTGGTACAGTACAGTAACTGAGAGAATGCATCAGACAAGAAGAGCGAGTGCATTCTGAGGCTGTCAACGCCTATGATAGTTAATCACATAGCTTTAGTCCAGTGGTCCCCAACCTTTTTCGGTTGCTGGACCACCAACTGAATTTTGCTCTGCTCAGAGTACCCCTGAAGTACCCCCTCGTGCATTATACCAGTAAGCGTATGGTCTCATGAGTGTTCTCAAGTACCCTCTGTGGATAGGCAAAGTACCCCCAGGTCCTAGTACCCCTGATTGGGAATCACTACTTTAGTCTGTGGCAATACTGTTTTGTCTGCTAAGGGACAGATCGAAATTTACTGTGGGGAGGGCTATCAAACGATATTTTTGCTTTGGGAGGGTTATGTTTAAAAAAATAAAATAAATTGGGCACAGGGGAGGGTAGTGCATTTTCCCCCTGGTTTACATTTGCTCTTTTCCTTGTATTTTCACTATAAACAATGGCTGGACTTACTTTTGATATTACCCTAATCAAGTTTAGAAACATTTGTGAAGGTTTGGTATGGTGTGGCTGTTATTAAACTTTAGCTACTGCAGACCTATGATACGAAGGCAGTGCACCCCTGCGCTCCAACTGACTCGGACAGTTAAACTTGAGGTGAGGAAGAGTTTCAGGCCTACCAGAGTTACTCCTATAATCTATCAATATAATGCTTATCTTTATACAAAATATTCGGATTGAAAATAACTAATTACCCTCCTCTGTACATCTATATCAGTATAGCAGACACAGTAGCCATCTGACATAAAGAAATGCAGGTTGGTGTTGTAGCATCTCTCTCGCTTTCTCTCAGTGGAGGCTCCTCAGAGGAGGAAGGGGATGGACCGTCCTCAGTGAATTTCATAAAAATAGTGAAACATGAAAGTTATCCTTTTTAGATAAAACTATACTAAATATATTCACGTCACCAAGTAATTGATTAAAACACACTGTTTTGCAA